AATCCCGCTCAAACATTAAAGTGTACCTGCATAAGGAGTAATCCTACAATAAATCCCGAACCTTGACAGTATCCCACTTCACGATCATGAAGACTGTACGCTTTCATAACGTTAAATAGACTCTCCTGGCCAAGCCCGTCTTTCTCTTTAAAGAAATCATGCTCAGGATATGTTCTCGCTATATCCCTCCTGATTATCCTTTCGCATGCTGATGTAGCCTTAATATACTCGGCGAATTGCTTTTTCACAGGAGAGTCATGAGCACCACTTAATAATTGCCAAACAATACCTCTGCAATATGAACATGAATCAGTTTTTTCCACTCATTGTGTACTGCAATTGTACTTCTCACTGGCTCTTGTTAAATTTAAAGGACTACACAGACTATCCAAAGTTACTAATAATTGAGAAATTGAGGCTAAAGAGTTGATTACCTAAAATGATGAGGTATTCCCTGACGTACTAATTCTTTGACGAACTCTTTCCTCTTCTTCCAATGATAATCCCAATCAGCGACGATGTGACCCCATAGGGTCCACGTGTTCTCTTCACCATCAGCTGAATTGTGGCGTCGGGGTGCAGCATCGCCGTTTCCTCCGCTGCCCCCCGACGCCACGGACACCTGAGATGTGTCGGAACCTTTCCTACTGTGATTACTTTGCAGCGAGTTCAACGACTTTGCATCCGATTCGATAAGCCTGTTATCAATTACATTAAATTCTTTAAATACGAACTTTACATTAATGAAATCTCATTAGAGTACTATTGAGTGGTAACATATGAGATATCCGATCACGTTAATTAAAATAATAAGCTCATTTTTTTCACTAACAGTGGATGAATTATACATAAATCAAAATCTGTTGACTAATTAGATTTGAATCCTATAATTATATTCTTATTAATTCAGTTAATTTAAATTTTCAAATCGAATTAACTGCGATGTACATAAAAATTGGGCTATATTGTAAAACTCATGGTCAAAATCGTTTTTACCAACAAATGCCAGTTCTCTATGTAGTACTTTAAATAGTAGTAGTGTCATAATCATACAAAATTACATTTTCATATGTTACAACTCATGATTATAATAAGTATCCTAATTAATGCAAGAGTATATATATGTGTGTGTGTGTGTGTGTGTGTGTGTGTGTGTGTGTGTGTGTATCTTCTCCCTTAAACGTGTGCTTAGTATCAGTTAAGTTTCAAATGGAAGTGTAAAAAATAAGCAGAATTGCCAAATCGATATAAAAACATTCAGGATAAATGAAAGATCTCGCATTGCAAGCAAGAACTAAATATAAAGAATGAAAAACAATTATAACGTACGTTGAAAATCTAAACATCACTTTTTACAATTATTTCATGAATCTCTCCTGAACAGAAATACTACTTCTGAAGTTTACAATTACTCATCATTCAATGCCTACGTTTATTCACTTGTTAGTCTGAGCTAAATAGAAACATATTTCTTCCTCCCTATAAAAATATATAAATTGTAAGAAAGGCAAATTATCCAATATATTTAAAATAGGATCAAATCTTTGCCCTCCCCCAATAAGTATAGAAATGTTTCTATTCATCCCATTTAAGCTACTCCTCATTCTCATTCACAATCAGCTGATCCTGCCAATTATACTGAGTCACGCATTAATAACATACATAATTCAACGTATATAAGCAGTATATCTAAAGCATGATTCGCTTTGCACATGCGATGCCGGTGTGTGTTGAACGTTAGTCAGCGCGACGATTCACCTATTGGCTTCCTCCAGCTTAGCTAATAGAGCCAGCTCGTCGGTGGGTATTTCCTGCGACGAGTTTATCCTCTCTTCCTCAGATGAGATCGGCGGTGTACTCGGAAGTATCTTGCTGGCCTGGCTGTTGTTCTGAGCGGTCTGGTGTACCGTGGTGCATAAACACAATACGCTCATCACCTGCGGTCCATAACGTGATAATCCTAATTGTCCAGCTGCCTGCTTGTCCTGGCCCCTGCAAAATCATTATTATTGTTTCGTGTCAGCTTGATCATGTCAGGTGATGTAACAGAAATGTTATATATGCGCAAGCCTTTCACAGATCAATTGCTGTTACCATTTTAGAACTTCCTGATATATAAGCTGGTTCTTTTGATAATTTCTTCACAATCTTTTCTAACCAGATTTCTATCCGTTTCTAGAGAATCTTAAAATATACAAGATTGCGTGAAACCGAATTTTCCACCAATCAGATCTTAATTTTCTTTAATCGAGTATTCTAAAAAAATAGGAATAAGAAGGGAGCGTCAGTTTGAGGGTAAAAAGAAATTCTTGGTCCAAAATTGTACATAAGCTGGTTCTGCTGATTTAAATAAACAAATAGATACGTATGGTTCAAATAAAATAAATAAATACTTGTAAAATACAATACACAGAAATTCGTCGAAGTTGGAAAAGAAAAGCGTGTAATTTGAATTATTATTTTCTATTTCCATTTCCATTCAAATTATTCATCTATGCAATCAAAGGAGAGATCGTCCATAAAATGTGTATATATATATATATATATATATATATATATAT